CTTCAGGAACATATTATGTGTAATGACTGTATGCAACCTCCCTCGGAGTGTCTGGAGCCGAACACATTAAAATAAAACAACTTCAAACAGCAAAATCTCTTTTGGAGATTATTTTTGTATCTCATATTAATAGCAAAGCTATGAATCTGAAAAAAGCAGACAGATAGCAAAATGGGTTTGTTTCCATTTAATTTTCATAACTACTAGGGGAGGAAGATGGAATGCCTCAAAGGAAAATTCCAGTGTAACAAAAAACATGCCTTGATTACTAAGAATAAATAGATGTCTCCAGTAATTATTAACTATCATACAAGAATCTGCCATCATCATGATGTGAAAGAATAGCTTGGGACAGTATTTGCATGCTGGATCAGTTTACAAAAGGAATTATGCCATAGAGTTGATGGCGATAGGAGTGACTGGCAGAAGTTTCTTTCCAGTTTCATGTTCCTAATTCACCAGAAAACAAGAGAATTCTAAAGGCTGTTTTTTTCTGTGGCATACAAAAGGAGAGAGTAAATGTTATATACACCTGAGAACACAAAAGGGAGATGGGTGGCTAACGTGTATCTGGAAAGCAAAGGGATGTCACAAGAATGACACGGGAGCTATGTGCCACTTGAGAGTCAAGTTGCATGCAGCTCTTGTGGTAGAGGGTGAGAGGACACAAAAAGAATGTTCCTTGTGTTCCTCCCACCTCTCATAGGACCTTGGCTTCTGCTAAAGGGGTATGGAAGAAGGCAGAGCCAAGCCACTGTTACCTCAGCACCAGCTAAGAGAGATTGCTGACTGCAAGGAAGAATTAATGCACACTATTTTAAGGGTGCTGCAGCAACTACAGTCCCTAAGAGCTCTGACATGCACCATGATACTCCAGAGGGAACCTTAGTTTTGTCCTCCTACTCAAAAGCAGATGAATCCTACCTTAACTCCCCCGCTACAAACAAAAAATGCTTTTGAGAACCCCTTCCAATCTCTTCCAGCCCCTTCCAACCCCTGCAGTCTAACCAGAAACTAAAAGAGGGTGATCATTCTAGGTGCACAGAAGGGATTCTAGGATGATCAGGAAAATAGTCTATTTTTTGAGAAGAGACTAGAATAGCTTGCCTTGTTTCACCTGGTGGAATGAAGGCTGGGAGGGGATATGATTGCTGTCTATATATACATCAGGGAAGTAAACACCAGGGAGAGAGAAGACCTATTTAAGCTGAAGGACAATGTTTGCACAATAACAAATGGGTGTTTCTAACCATGAGAGTAGTACATTTCTGGAATGGCCCTCCAGTAGGCCTCCAGTAGGGGCAGGAAGCCCAGCCAGTTTTAAGATCAAGTTGGATCGATTTATGAAAGGGATTCTAGTTGCCTGCAATAGCAGTGGATTGGAGTCAATGGCACCAGAGATCCTTTCCAAGCATGTGTCCTATGTTCCTATGTTCCATTTGTGAGCTTCCTGTGGGTCACACTTCTGGCTTGATAGCCCATGTTGTAGGGTGTATGACAGAAAGGGCAACATTGTGCCGAGACTGAGGAACCTAAGACCCTTTTGCAAAATTAACTTGGAGACTAAGAAACCTAATTCCTCCTGGCATTCAATGAGCTGTACATTTTCAAACATCTAAATCCTGTCTGGCAGGACTGGCTTGGCTTGCGATTGCAATAGGCCTACATAGAGCTTATTGCAGGGGCAGGCAATTATTTTGGGCAGAGGGCCACTTACTGAGTTTTGGCAAGCCATCAAGGGCTGCATAACAGGCAGCCCAGGGCAGATAAATATTAATTTTCTAAATTTTTTAGGGGCCCTGCGGGCAAGATAGAATGGCCTGGTGGGCCACATCCCGCCCCTGGGCCGCATTTTGCCCACCCCTGGCTTATTGTAACACTGAGTAATAGTATTTTAGAAGCCCCTTGACAGTAGGGAAAAAAACCTAATGATTTCATTAAGAGATCAAAACCAAAGCTTACCTGAAATTATGGAGTAAGAGGTATTTGAATTCAGTTCTGTTATTGCAAAAAGTCCAACTAGTCCATATTCCCTGAAATATACTGTATGAAAACATGCTCTGCCAGTGAAAAAGATAAAAGAATTATATCAAAAGAATACAGTGCCTCTGGCTGATCACATCCCAAGGGTAGGACAGCTGCATTCTACTCTCTCACTCACCTCAGGTGAATAATTTTAACAGACAAAATAACATTAGTTTGCATTCCCTAAGCATCTTCCAGGAGCTGATTATTTTACAAGTCAACCATTCAAAGACGTTAGATACAGAACAGTTAATGGGCAGCACATATTGCAAGACTCACCCTTCAAACTCCTTCAGTAGAGGCTCTCAACTCAGTTCACAAGCTGGCTAGATGGGAGAAGGAAAATATGAGCCATGTCTTCTGGTGGTATAAATCAGAGTAGGCCCAAATAAGCTTACTGAGCTATACCCATTTACACTAGTTTACAAGAAGAGGGAGAAATACCATTGTAGTTATATGGAGGGCTCTGATTGTCCCTTGCATGCACCGTGTATAGTTACCCACACTCAAGAAGACAGATTGTAAAATGCTAACACCATTATGAGTTAGTGCAGGGGTGGGCAAAATGTGGTCTGGGGGCTGGATGCAGCCCGCCAGGCCATGCTATCCGGCCCATGGGGCCCCTAAAAAATTTAGAAAATTAATATTAATCTACCCTGGGCTGCCTGTCATGCAGCCCTCGATGGCTTGCCGAAACTCAGTAAGTGGCCCTGTGCCCAAAATAATTGCCTGCCCCTGAGTT